ACCTCTGGCAGGATCCTGTGAGAAGTGCACATTCCAGACAGCCTCACTCTGACCCCTCCTTTCCCCAAGTACACTCAGAGTACGTCCCGTGCCAGTTCTTAATGACACACATAGTGTGAAATAAAATAAAGCATAGGGCCTATGTCTATCTATATTTCATGAAAGCAGCTTCTTTTTTTGTTTCCAATTTTGTTTTGGCTTTTTGGCCCATGATAATCCTAAATGAGGAATCTCAGATGGCTGGATTTGGTTGTGTGCATTGAATCTTGTTTTGGTTTTTCTCATGGGAATTTCTAATCATTTAGTAATACTCATCTTCAAGACCTAGAAAGTATTGGCAGACATATAAAATTGGATTTATATGGACAAAAAGTCCACCATGATATGCTTGAGGAAAACAGATGAGAGATAAGCAGACATACTCATTTTGATCTTTGCCTTATTTTCTTTAAATCAGCACTAAATTGTACCAAAAGGCCCAATGGTAATATATTGTTTTAGCCCCTTTGGAGGTTTTTATTGAAGAAAATTTTCCAATTCAAGTGTTTCACTGATTTAAGGTAGAAAATTCAAAGTCAGTGGATAAATTATTAAAGCCTCTCTGCTTGTCGTCAAAACATGCCTTTGGCTGCTGATGACAACTATAGAAATGCTGATGTTTTATAAAAGGCAGTGGAACAGTCTCCAAGGGAACAAGAAGTAGCTTAGTGGTTATTTTGGTTTGTCCCCTTGCAGAGAATTTAAAGAATACTATGTGAACTAGAGAAGATATTTGGATATGGATTGAACCCTTCAGTCCTTGAATAGAACCTACTATTTTGCTTACATATTTTCTCTCCTTTTCCTGCCAGTTCTCACTTCTTCTATCCCTGGCTGCTCTTTGTTTGATTTTGTAGTTACTGAAATAAATTTTCTCAGAGATGTACCTAAAGAAACATTTCGTCTTGATACTTTAGTCAGCGAGTTGATGTTTAAGATAACTAATAAAATATAGAGCTGCCTTAATAACCCCGTCTCTCATGATCTATTTAAGGAAACAGACCTCTTACCCAGAGTCATCAGGCACATTGCTCTCTGGCAACGCTGGAGGCCTCACTGGCTGACACACAATTGGCCTGGACATGACCTCCCTTCCGTACAACTGGATCTTAAGTGCCCTAGCCCAGGGAATATGTGATGCCAGGAACATGCCAAACAGACTAAGACAACACAAAGCATGTCAGGATATAATAAATTAGATTCATGTAGCCTAATATGCCAAATTTAAGCATAAAGATTCACAACAATACAATAGATGCTCAATGACATATATTTACTGTTTTCCATTTGCAAAAAAGAAAAGCAATATACAGAAGCACACGATATTCAAAATTATTTTCTGATTTAAAATGTTTATTATCAATGCAGTGCTAATTGCTTGCAATTTTGTCTTCCCTAATTACACTGATATGTTGAATAAAGTGTAGTTTACAGTAATAATTGATGTATATATTTTTAATTAGATGATTCTGCATGCATTTATTTATGACCTAGATGCATCTCTTCTATTCCAAGTGCATTTTCTTATTTATTTGCTTTGCTTATTTAAATTTAATGAATTACAATTTTGACTCACCTTACCACACCCAGATACTTTTTGCTTAACATTTATAATAGTTTATTACACACAGTATAGAACTTTTATGTTAATAAAGTATCTCTTATATAATTACATTAAGTATTATGCCAAGAAAAGTTTTGCTAGTGTGTGTATAATAGATTGCTTATGTATATGTGCATGTATGTATGTATGTATGTATGTGTATGTAGTGTGTAGTGATCTAATGTACCTCAATATCATTAAAGTCAGTGATATATTGTGTGGATCAATTCACCCAATAATTAAGTATATGTGAAGGAAGCAACATAATATATAAGTTAAGGTTTTATGTATATGATAGATATAATATCTTTCAGGCAGTTCAGATTTAAAGTATGCCTGAGTTCCTTGAGGAGAGATTAAAACACAGAGGTCTCAAAATTCAGAATTCACATTTATGAACACATCAGCCTCACACAGTTTTTTGAGCATCACCCAGTTGCATTACTATGTTCAAAGATTAAAAGAACAGTATGGCAGGGTTGGACTATAATTAAAAGAAAACACACTCAACTGAATGCAAGTTGCTGACATAACTCTTGCCAGGCCACAGGCAATGACTGTTACCAAGGACAGTAGGTCTTTCATGGTTTTTCCAATATTGTCACTAAATTCCATAAGGAAAATTCTTTGCTTAAAAAAAAAAGAAAAAATGATTTTAAAATGTAACTCATGCTGTTTTATACTTGAGAGCCCATGAGGCTAACACTAGTTTTATCTTACTTAACAGTGTCCTACCAGCTTTTCAAATTTTCTATGTTGTCCTGGAAACATGTATTTAGTTACAGAATATAAGAAAACTGTACATCTTATTTTCAGAGAATTATCCCACACGTTATCAGGGTTTGGAATTAACGTCTGCCTCTTGTTAGGTGCTCCTCGGAAGCTATGATGATGGCAAGGTGTAAGGTTCCGAAGCCGGGGGGCTAGGGTTGGAAGTAGGGCTGCGGTGGAGTGAGGGTAAGGAAAGGAAAGAAGGCTTAAGTCTAGAATTTAGTCACCTAACTTCTACTCAGTGCCCACTAGAGACCAGACACAATTTTAAATTTGGAGGATATTTTGGAATGCAAAGGTGATCTCATATTTTGAATTCCAGAGGGTTGAACATTTAACTAATCAAGGCAGTACATTTTCTTAGTTCAGGCTGCTATAACAAAATACCATAGGCTGGGTGGCTTAAACAACAAAAATGTATTTCTCACAGTTCTGGAGACTGGGAAATCCAACATCAAGGTGCCAACGGATCCAGTGTCTGGTGAGAGGGTTCTTGCTGTCTCACAGAGAGCCAGCTTGTCATTGTGTCCTCACTTGGCGGATTGCAGAGGGAGAGAGAGCGAGCATAGGTGTGGACTTTCATAAGGGCACTAATCCCATTCACGGAGGATCCACCCCTGTGACCAAATTACCTTCTAAACGCCCAGCCTCCTAACATCATCACATTGAGGGTTAAAATTTCAATGTATGGATTTTGGGCAGACACAAACATTACGTTTATAGAATATGCTAAAATAAATGGAGAGAAGTGTGCACAGAGTGTTATATTCCTAGGTCCCTGACTAGGCTGGATTGTACCTTGCAAAAGTTTCTGATGTACGTAGATAGCAGAGGAAGGATGTTCCTCACTCCGTGACCTGGTTTATCTTCTTCCTGAAGCCCTCCAAATCTCAAATTATGTTTTCCAAATATGGGAGCTGACTTTGTCATTTGTGAATGGATCAATACATATAAAATTATTCAATAAATTAGAAATAGATTTCAATTCTATACTATAATTATATTTGGTTAATATTATATTTAACAAATCAAGAAATTACTGATTAGAAGACACATTGGGAAGCACTAAAATACAAATATATACACATGTACCTATTTTCTGCTTGTAGAGAGGAAACACGAGAGTCATTCAGGCCACAAATATTTATTAAGCGTGGAACAGGTGCCAGGCATAATGCCCCATCTTCAGGTTGTAGCCAAGAACAAAGCAGATATTGTCTCTCCTTATGTGTATACAGAGTTTTGAACTGGCTAAAACCATAAGCATTTTTAGGACTAAGTCAGACATTTAGATGTCAGATATATGCCCAACCATCCTAGCCCAGCAGTATTCCACCAAATCAGACAGCCTACTGAAAAGTATAACAATTAAAAGTATTAATTCAGGTGTAAAACATACTGCAGAGATAAACTAAATAATATATGTATTTCTCTTACCTTTCTAAAAAATACATATTAATGGTTTCCTGCATACCAGTTTCATTTTTAAACCTTTCCTCTGACCATAGGAGCTGATGCTGTGGAAGCTCAGTGTAAAAGATTTGAAGTGAGAGCCAGTGAAGATGGCAGGGTGCTGTTCTCTGCAGATGAAGATGAGATTACCATTGGGGCTGAAAAGCTGAAAGTTACAGGTACTGTAGATTGAGGCCTTGGAACATTGTTTACTTCTTGAAAGAATATACGACTGGGAAAAAAAGCTACTTTATAAGATGTGTGATCCCCATGTCCAAAACTGAGTCTCACATAATATCATGATATCACGACGTTTGATTTTCCAACAGTCTTCAAATAAAAGGCACCGATTGTGGATGCTGAACCGAATGTAAACAGTAGCCTTGATGTATAAGTAAAGCTGTGAGTCTCAGGGAGGGATAGGTGGGGGAAAGTGAGTATGAATAGTGGAAAATAAAGGGTAGGTCAAACACTAAGTAAAGCTATCTATAGGTGATAAACAAATAAAACTTAAAGATAGTATCTATTTTATTTATTTTTAATTTTTTAAAATTTATCTTTATTGTTGAAAGTATTACAGATGTCCCCTTTTAAGACACACAAAAGAAGAACGAAAATGTAAATATCAACTTTAAAATGAAGTAGGGAAATGGTTATAAGAAAACTAAATTATTGTTCTTTAGGGCTCATAATTATCTTAAAAAGTATATAAATCAAGAAATAGTGCCCATCGCATTATTTAGAAGTCATTAAAATCATTATTCTAATACTAGGGTCATAAGTCAATCAACAACTGAAATTCAAAAGCAAGAACAAAAACAAAACAGGAGGTTAAAGGGATGACTGGCAGCAGGGAAGAATTTTTAAAGACGAATTTAAGCATAATTTCTATTGAGTTATTTGATTCACAACAATAATACATAGTTATTAAAATATTTTTAAAATAGCCAAAGAGGACTACATTTTTTAAAAAGTAAAAAAAAAAAAAGGTGACATATGTTTGACTTAGTGTTTCCCAAATCTGAGCTTGGGAACAGCTCATGGCATATCTGTCATATCTAGTTAGGTCCGACTGAGTCCTCTGGGCCATGTGAGAGCAGTTGCATGGTAATTGGCCTCTGCTTTCCATGGCTCTTTGGGTTGAATCCTACCTCTACTATTCAATATTTTTAAAAAATTCTCTATACCTCCAATTTTCTTTCATCTAAATGATAATGATAAATTGGGTGTCCGATTACATTAGTGTGCATGTGTGCGCACCTGCATGCCTATGTGTGCATGTCTATAAGGTTTGCTGCACATAATGTAGACATTGTAAAGATTAGCTCTTTATTCTTATTAAGAAAGATAAAAATAATATTGTCATGTCCTAGATGATTGCCTGAGTGGATTTCAAGAAAGAACATACTGTTAAATAGCAGTGAAATTCAACAAGGGTTGCTGAATGGGGATCCTCATTGGGCACCCCTGGGCTTAGTCACAACCCACTTCCACCATCCCTACTGACCCCATGTTCTCCAATCTTTTGTGAGAATGTCCTGCTGAGTAAGTGGAGCCTGTAACATTGGGTTGGCTTCTGGGGGTGACCCTCATGACTATCCATCTGCCTCATTTCCCCTGTTTTCTTTAAACTCTTTAGAAAGGTCAGGAAAAGAGTTATGCATGTGAGGCAAACATTGACCAAGTTCACCTTTCTAAGTCCTCATATGGGAGGAAGGGAGACTAAAAAAAACATGAGGATTATGGTTGGTGTAGAACACAGACAAATCAGAAAGGACATTGACTTCAGGGTCCTTTGTGCTAACATTTGAGTTGCTGGTTGGTGAAACAGTAGGGGATGTGGGTAGAAATACACTCAGGGGCATCAGGCAGATATGATTTCAATATTTAACAATCTTTGAACCTTGGTAGTACCTACTGGTTATCAGCTTTGATCCCAACATAATCCTGAGATAGCATTTAGGATATTACACAATTACCCCAAATTAGTTTGTCAATATTCAGGTAGTCCCATGGGGTACTTTGTATTCATAAGTAAAGGGAAGTTTTAGAGGTCTTGACAGCTTTTAGGATTGATGGAATTTTAATTTCCTCTGATCTTTATATACCTTGACTTGTCTCATAACAATTGCAGTAAAATACTGTCTTCACAAAATTAGACACATTAACTAGTCTTTTAAATTTTTTCTTTGAGGTAGGTGGATACTCAACTTTATTTTCCTCTTTTCTTTGGTATCCTTGGACTGTAATTTGGGCTATTAAATCAAGGGAGAACTGAAAAATCTTAAGTTTTTCTGCTTTTCAGTTAACTGCCTTGGGACAGTCATGTCTGCTAATTCATTCATTTTTTGTCTCTGTGTGTGTATGTGTGAATGTGTGTGTGACATATGCATAGTATATATGTATATATGTACATATAGATGGGTAAACACATTTATCTCTTTCTGGCTCTCTTTTTTCCATTTCTTTATCTAAAAATATACACATAGCTTTGAGTTTATTCTTCATATACTCTTGATTGATCTATATTTTCCAGTTATCTCAGAAAATCAATCAGTTTTACAACAGGGTTATGTACCATGTGATTCCAGAAGATCCCAAATAATAAAATAATATAATTAAGAGGCCATAATTATTGAATCCACTATATTTTTGTAAGGAGTTGAAGTATAGCACTTAGGATGAAGGAATGAGAGTGTCTTTCCACATTGTTAGCAGATGCTTGCTTAATTGGGAGCATTTTAACTGATTAGAATCACCCCCCAAGTACAGTCACATTTCTGTTTCTACAGACACAAGCATACACATCCACCTCACATTCCTGCCAGGTTCTTACTCCTTTACCAGAATATTGCATATTAACTTTCGAGTAGCTCTGTTCCTTCCTGTGACACTTCTAAAATAAAGAAAAGCAAAGATATCAAAGGCAAATATAATTTAAAATTTCACATGCTTAGAGGAGAAAATTGTGCAGAGTGTAGCATGCAATTTAGGTGAATGAGAATTGATTAGTAACCCCACATATACTTTAAAGCAGTGCTTGAATCATTTGACACATAACACTGCAAAGAAACACTACTCCAGGGGGCTTCGTATAATTAGTTAGCTGTGTTGACAAGACTTCAAAGTTGCATGTGACAAGAGATCTGTGTGAGGTTTCTTCTAGAATTTTAAATTTGTGACACAAAAATGTTCTATTTAAAGAAGATTCATAGGAATTAAAATGGATTCTTCCAATCTGTATAACTTACGAACAATAGCGCGTTGTACATGGACTTCTCTTCAGGGTAACAGAAGCAGATGCATTTATTTAGAGCGTGCCTATACATCTGAGGCAAAATCATTCATTGGCCTAGTATCACTCAGGATATTTCCATTTACCCTACCTAAAAAGTAGCACATACTCCTAGTATTCAGGTGGATAGAAGTAAAATGATGACTGATTACCTGAACACCACCACCCCTTAATCCCCCATCACCATGATAAGCAATCACATGCTTAAAATTCTTAATTTTTTACTCTTCATATTGCTTGACTTGCTCAGTAATTGTTTGCTTAAATCTCAATTTGAATACACTTATTTGATTTGACCTTAACATGCCCTCTCTGTATCATTGGGTATATGGGAGTTTTACACATTAGCTCACATATGCACACTTCAAAACTTCATTTGCATTTTGTATCCCCTAATATTGGCCAATGATACCACTTAATGCAATTATCTTTTAGACCAGATAAACAAATAAAAGATAGAAACCTTTGCACTCAGGAGACTCTTAAATTTAGTGCTTTCAGGTCGAATCTATCAACTTCAATTTGTACTTTCATTTGTATTCCACGTAGTATATTCACTTTGAAACAAGGTGCATGTATAATCGTTTGACTTGATAAAGTGAAAGGCCTTAGCCCTATAGAATGCCTTCATGTTAAATTAAAAGCTATTCATTGGGCTTAGACTTCTCATTTTGCCTTCGAGAGAAAAGGAAAGAGTAGCAAAATGTACGAGGAGAAAGGCTCTCTCTTTTATTTTCAGAGAGTAGAAATGAAAACTGGCAATCAGAGAAAAAGAATCCCAGCCATGCGCCCACCCTGTGCCCTCGCGTTGCCTGAAAACCGAGAGCATCGCTCCTTTGTCCCTGCTCCAGCTGAGTGATCGGAAAGATAGGCAAGTTCTAATGCTTGTTTGACAACAGGAGAAAGGATTTGCTGAAGAGCTGTCCTTTAAATTAAACACCATGTTTCTGGGTCGAAATCAATACCCGCTGGTTTGTTTTTATTAGTTAGCCTTCTGCACCCTGTTCTTGTCTGTGACATTGGCACACGGTGGAGGGGTCAGCTTCGGAACCCAGCCTTCTCTTACGTGGACCATTGTTCCTCCCGCCTGCCCAAATGCCTAGACTGGGCGACCCAGCCGGCAGGATGGATGGGGCTCCTGGGCCCAAACGGCACTTGAAGGACTGTGATTAGGTCAAGTGCTGAGGAAAGTTCTGTGCAATCATTCATTTACTCTAGGGCGGCATTCATAGGTCACAGACTAGGGTAAATTATTCAACTCACTCAACTGGCTTTCCAATTGCTTTATAAACTTACCCAGGATAAAGATTTTGGAGACACTAACGATTACCACTCTCCTTCCCCCCAAATCTCCAGGTAAAACCTTTGGAAGACATTGAAGTGTCTAAATAATGAACTAGGCCTTACTGGCAGTTCTCTCCATGACATATTTTTCCAAGCTATCATTTAAATGTTTCTTACTTTTGTTAAAGCAAAACTTGAAAAGATAATTTTATAATGAATTAACATTCCTGTGTAGTGGTTTTAAATTTTTCCATTGACGTTTAAAATTTTTCTTATAACTATGGGCCTTAAATCCAAAAATATCTCAAAGATATAATTTATCCTGCCATCATATAAATAAATGAATTGTCTGATTTCTTTATATCATGATGAAGTTTAAAAAAATACATTACTTGTAGAATGTGGTGTCTGAAATTGCATACAATTTCTCTGCTGGCTTGCTGGCTATCAGCCAGGAGCTGGTGTTTGCTCCTGGGGGCTACACATATTCCTTCTGAGGTTTTCCAGGTGTCTCACCTCCAGGAACACTTGGTTGAGTCCCTCTCATGATTCAGATCTCTCCAGTATCCTCTTCTGATGCATCACTTTTATTTCCTTTTC